TATAAATTATTTTATTTTCAGAAAAGTCTTTTTTTCTTAAATTGAATCCAAGAATCACCTCCCCCAAAAACAAAGTATTTATTCTAGGAACCAAATTTTCACATTAAAATTTTTGTTGAGTTAATTCATCAAAAAGTTTTCCCTATTTTTTAAGGCTTGTTTTCATGGTGATAGTAGGTATTATTACATGTAAAAAGAACTAGGAAAATTTTTAGGTGTACAAAAAATATTGCATGAAAATAGGCCTTTACTGTCAAACTGAAATGTCAAATTTGGCCTAGTTTTTTTTGCCCGCTATAATACCTACTCTTATAAAAGAGATCTTACAATTATTTTATATTTAAGGTGACGAAATACATAAAATTATACCTACGTCAAAGTTTTTTTCGTATTATGAAAATCTCCCATCTTGCAGATTATCATCTAGATCACTTTCAGGAGAGTATTATCAGCTTCAAGCCTGAATTTAAAAGGCGGATGTAGAGATTTTTTAAATCAATGTTTTAAACATTTAAGATGGCAGTCTCTTCATTTTTTTTTAAGAAGTACACATTTATAAAACCTCCCTTTTTCATAACTAAAATATTTTCAGATGCGGATAGGAATTCAAACACATCACAAATATCAGAATGAATGAAATTTTTTAAAGAAACTTTCACAGGTTACTGTAATACTTTTTGCAAAACTTCTCAATTCCTCCTGCGTCGTTTTTTGCTCGGCCAAGCTCTGAAGAAGCTAATAGGATGATTGCCGAAACGTCACCAAGTTCGACTCAGCAAAAACCGACGTAGAAGGAATCCAGAAGTTTTGTAAAATGTATTAAAAGAATGTGATAATTCAATAGCTGCTTGGCTGAAAAGAGCCAAGGAGCGTGAGCAACGAATCCAAAAAATGTTTTAAATTTCCTGCTTTCAATAAAGGATGACAGAAAACCTGTCAAACATTTGTTTTCCTTTTAGAGTTTAGTTCAAGATATAGTACGTTACTCTATATTTAAGATACTTGAAGTTAGGTTGTTCTATATTTTTAATATATTATATACCTATAATTTTTTCATATCTATATTAGAAAAAAATTGGATGTGTGTAAAACGTATTTTATTAATGGTTTCAAGCGGTAGTCCTTCACTTAAATATTATTTGGAAAAAAACTTGTGGATTTGAAATATTGCCTGCTATTCCAGTGATTTCGCATATATCGTGGACGTTCGAATTAGTAACATCGTATATCCTTGAGACGTCTTAAGAATGTCCCTTAACTAAAACAGTATATTCCTAGGAAATACTCCATGTCCCGTCAGATATCACAATATGTTTTACGGATGTCCTTGTGCTATTTGAGCTTGTTCGAAAATTGTAAGTATAAACAATATTTTCACTTAAAAAAAAAGAAAGATTTATTATGTTTTTTTGGTATAATAATAAAACTTTTGGTGGCTAATGTTAACAATTTTAATGTATTTACAAAAGGTTTTTACTCAAATATAGAAGTAGAAGTAGATTTTTTAACGAATGTAAACCCAAATAAGTTATTGCTTTTTTGAATTTTAGAGATTCATGCAGATAAAAATTTTAAAAATACAATGAGTAGATTAACGCCGAACCTTGTGGCACCCCATAACTATTCTTATTGTGTCGCCCAACTTAACATACTCGGATCTATTTTTTAAATAAGCTACTCTTGAAACCAATTATAAAACTTGGTTAACATTTTGTCATTACTAACTACGTCAAACGTCTTTTTCCAATCCGCAAATGCCCCAATCACAATTTCGCTTTTGAGAAGTAATTTACAAAATCAAATGTGGCTGAAAGAGTATTGCACACTATCTTTTGGGGATCCATGTTGGAATAAGTTAATAATAAGTTAAGTATATTTTCTGTTGTAAACCAGATCTTCCTTTTTTTTAAGGTTCCCTATAAGTTTCGAGAAAACGCTGTAAATGTAAATTTATCGCGTAATTAATTTTAACTGACTTTAAATTCTCTTAGAAATGTGCCTGTTAACCAATTCAGTTAAGTAGCTTATATTCTTTTGGTCGCTTTAAAATTCAAAAATAAGCAATATTTAACGAATTCATCAGGTCTAAACGCCGATAATAAGTCAAGTTAAAATGGCGACATCGTTACAACCTATTGGCTCCAGACGAAAGAAATCGAGCTGCATTTCCGCCGTGTTTTAACTTTGAAGTAGCAACTCTGCTCCTAACAAAACACTTCCGGCGTCATAATTGAATTCATCGGAAGTACTTTTCGTTTGATGCAAAGTTCGACACTTGAGGGATATTAAACGGGATCGCTGATAACGCGTTTACGAACGAGCTATTAATTTCAAAAATCTTCGTTATTAAATTTTATCTTTTGTCTGTCTTTCTGGCGTAAGGTATTAACTGCTTTTAATTTCTAATCTATAAGCGATGCGCGTATTAGTAGAACGAGTTCTAGAGTTACTGTAGCAGTCTAATAATTACAACAATTAGACTGTGCAACTTGTAAAATGAGAAGTACTTTCGAAAATTGTTCATTTCAAATTAGTACCCAAAAATTATATAATCTAAATATGCAAAATTCGAATGATCAGCGCATTAATATATTTTTTCAGTGAACAATCTTTAAATCACATTCAAGAGTGCTGCAAATTAAATTTTCATGTCAGTTTCGAAGTACAATTTTTTGGAAATTTTCGGTGGCATGTCATTTAATCTCCAGGTTTGTTCTTTCTTTTTAAATGTATTAATGTGTTTTATGATTATTGTAATTATATAATTATATTATCTTATGATAATGCGAGGTTTACTAAGAATTGAGAATATAAAATGAAGCTGGCAAGAATTGAACTGAGGTAGCTTTTACTTGATGAAAATCTATTTAACAAAATAAATAAGAACTAAAAGTTCAGATTTTCACGAAATTATATATTTTCACATAACAATTGTTTCGACAACACCGTGTCTTTATGAAATGTAATATTTACACACTACCTGCTACTATATATACTGAAAAATGTCAATAAAACCTAAATTAATGTGGTTATGAGAATTTAAGTTCAATAAAGGAGAGGTATTTAAATCTAATTGATCCATAATCATATCATCATCATAATCGTATAAAATTCACTATCGAGAGGAACAGGATAACTCTATTAATTTTTTAGACTTAACTATTACGAAAACGGAAAACAAATTAGATTTTTCCATTTATCACAAAACCTTCACACACGCACACAGTCAGACATAACAGCTCAAATCACCCTTGTACACACAAAAGGGTTGTATTTCACTCTTTTATACATAGACTTCTTAATACGCCACTCTCAACAGAAAATTACAACAAAGAACTTAATATCATTAAACGAATTACACTGAACAATGGCTACAATCCATCCATTATAGATAAAATTATAAATAAAAAACAAATCCAGACAACAGTAAACTCTATTTATTCGAAACTTAATACAGAACACGAACAATTTAAAATAATTACATACACAGAACCCAGTGAAAAAGTTTCAAAACAGCTTTCAGAACTAATAACACAATAGGAAAATTTTTAAAAAACAATAAAACGAAATGTCCAGAATCTCAAAAATGAGATGTCTTCAGGTAGAAATGCGGATCTTGTCCTACAATTTATATTAGACAAACAGGTAGATCCTTCAAGAAAAGCATTAACGAACATAAACACACACACTAAAACACAAAAACACATTTTTTACGAAAATTTTGATATTTTGTATACAGCCACAAAAATTAGAAAATTAAATTTATTGGAAGTCATGGGGATTAACAAAATGAGACATTCAAATGTATTGCTTAACGATCAACTAGATTTAAATACCTCTCCTTTATTGAATTTAAATTCTCACAACCATATTAATTAAGGTTTTATTGTCATTTTTCGGTATATATAGTAGCAGGTAGTTTGTAAATATTACATTTGATAAATACACGGTGTTGTCGAAACAATTGCCATGTGAATATATATAATTTCGTGAAAATCTGAACTTTTAGTTTTTATTTATTAAGCTGACAAGATTTGACTTCATATAATTTTTTTCCTAATGTTGGACCTATAATTTTGGCATTTAATTTTTATGCATAATATGCATGGTGATTCGTAATGAATGAGTCAAATAGCAATCCTCGATTAAACTCGTAAAAATAAACGATACAGAGAACAGTAGTAAAATGTTTAGTCCTCGAAATTTTAATTTCTCTTAACCAGTTTATGATATCATATATGATTCGATTAAATATACCATTTTTGAAGTATTTGCAATACGATAATACTAACCTCCACAAAAAGGTGACCCTCAAAACTGGTCTCAATTCGAAAGTTGTATTTGTAACCATGAGGATTGCTGAAGACAGCACCTGTAAACTGTATCTTGAAAAGCAGAAAACTCCTATTCCTAACCAGCTTGCAATTAAGAGTATATGTAGCTCAATTCATTCAGTTCAAGAAAGCATCCAAGCCCAAACTTCTCTCATCACTCTGGCAACGTTGCGTTGCGGATTGGTCTGAGCACCTTTTGCAATTGTTTGAATCTAAGTTTGCATTGATTTTTTTGTTATCACTTTAATTTTTGCGAATTTAAAATAAGCCCATTTTTAAAACGTTAAATTAGATTTTTAGATGATCTAAAGAGTGTTTTCAGCGCCTTCCACGCACACATCCGGTGATCCTAGACAAGGATAAATATATGGGTATTTATTTAACTTTTAGTCTTGCATCTCCATGTTGTTTTTGACCGCAGTCAGTACTGTTAGTACCAATGTATGGTATTGAATTTTAAATTAATAGTTCATCTGTGGGACCTGAATACCATTTCATATTACTCACAATTTCCAAGGAATTTCTCATAAAAATGCTTTCCGGAACTGGAAAGGCACTTGAAATTTCTCCCTTTAATTCGCGGTAGCAATCGGCAACGCCGTACCCGGAGTACCGTTCTTCGCGCGTCGCACCGTTTGGCTGGGACAATCTCGTGCTACCGAAACCTTGTGTGTTGGCGTTTTCAGTGATTAGTCTTTGGGCTACAAGTGCGGCAGTACAGGTAGCGACCGAGATTTCCGGGCAAACCGCCGAAGAACGCGCTTATTCTCCGGCGTATTTTGGTTTCCAGTTTTATAGTGTAAACGTGAGTGATTCGGTGAAATGTTTCCCTTCGTGCCGTTCTTTGTTGTCCTATTGGGTAAGTAACGTAACGAAGTAATTCAGGAAAAATATACCATTTAAAAGCAACGGAGGCATCGACTGAATTTTACACTCAAAATCAAATTTATCCCTTTCAAAAACCGTCGCTATAACAAATACGCTAAGCACGAGTTTCCCAAACAAAAGTTCCAAATCAACTATAGCCCCAACCGGAACAAAGCGATGAAATGTAAATTTTACTCCCGAACCCCTTGAATGTGCAAAATGCTTTTCCGTACGAATTCACTGCCGCCAAAGCGCTTAAAAATCAGTCGTTAAATCCAAGGACGCGAGTTATTTAAAAAAGCTCACTTTCAATTGCAAAAACAACGCAAAAATAGAAACAAAGAGATTTACATAGTTAGTACGGATCGGGAGTCGGCTGCTATTTATTAAAATCTGGGAGGTTTGACAGTGGCGTTTTCAGAAGAATTTTCAATTTCGAACGTTGTTTCTCCGGTGCAAAGCATGAAATAAACATATTTTCGAGTATATGGTAGGAAAATATTTTGATTGATATTTAAAAAATAAATATTTCAGAATCAGTGTAAGATATCGAGTTAAGTTTAGACCAGAGCTATCTTTGATGGTATTATAAAAGTTACTTCTGACAAAATTGAAATATTTTGTACAGTAGCATCGCTGAGGGGTGATGTACTTTTTTTTAAAGCCAAGAATATTACTTTTGGCAAGTAATGATAACATGATTCAGAGACAACTGTCTTAAAAACTAAATACGTTAACAAGGCGTACGACAAATTAAACGGTAAAAGACAAGGAGAAAATATTTAAAATAAAGTTGCAAGATTAAAAAAGTTTATAAGTTAGAAATATTTTTAGTTACAGGATGAATCAAAAAGTTGTTATTGTTGAATTTTATAAATTTTTAAATCGGACGCTCTATCTACTGCCTCATTGTTTCTGATTTCACTTTATTTCAAAATTATGTCAAAAGTACTTAAGATGACCCAACCCCCCCCCAAATGTTTCAAAAATTTAAGAATCGATTCGAAAGAGCAGGAAATGTTATGTAGCAAAAACAAAGCGCTGGGCAACTTTAATAAAAAGACAAAACAACAGAATTTTTTTTTGTGGGACCGCGTACCTTTTGAAAGAGGACATTCCCGGACGCATTTGTTCTAACCAAACTAACATTACTTTTTAATATACTATTTACGCAAGAATAAGAGGAAATTTGTTTGAAACGCCTATTGTATACTATTTTATAAATGTTAATATAAATATAAATTACATACTATATAATTTTCAATGATTGAACACATATACTATACATATACACAAAAACTGGCTACGTCATAACTGCCAATTGTGAAATTTATCAAAATTTTATTGTATTTCGTGTATCTCAAAAGTTAAGGCATTTAGAAGATACTTTATTATAAGGTTTTTTTCCTAAAATGGGCTCAAGAAAGATCCGTTTTAACATCGACACAAAGTTAAGAACCGCCCTGTGTACTTTTTTTCATTAATTACACAAAAAACTACTCCCTATGCACTTTGGAAATTTCCCGTACTTTAGCCACGGGTTTGGTTACAATAGCATATTTTCCGTAGATCTTAGCCACGAATGCTATTTTGACATTTGTGTATTCTTGAGGTTTTGCAAAAACATACCCAAAAACTAATGGTCTTAAGCAAAGTATATGCAACACATTGATAAACTTCTTCAATCACTCATTTATTAAGCATTGGATCAGCTCGAGCTCATGACTGTCGTAAAGGTTGTCAGAAATGCGCCTATTTGGTTACAGTATAAATTGAGTAATATTTAGAATGATAATTACAAACAACCGTGATAATATAAATCGTTTTATACAGAATTACTCGTAGATCTCAGTTCCGTCCCACGAGCAAGTTGCTTTGTTTCTTTTGCTTGATGTTGCGAACAGTCTTGTGAAAATTCTACAAATCCGGCGGGTTTTAATTAATTCCTTGGGCGAATTAGCAAAAATCGTTGTAAAATTAAAAATTCCCATTTCCGAGTTTAATTTCCGGACACACCTTTGATGCCGCGTTGAACAGGCCAAAAGTGCAAAGTGTTTTTTATTTTCCTTGGAAGATTCATAATTAAAATTATTTATAGACGTGCAGATTGGAAGCTCGAGTGTTTCAATAATAACGCATCCCATCAGTTCTACCCACAGCGAGAGTCGATTTGATATGTTCAGCAACCAAATAAATATAATACAACTCAAGTCACCTTAAGCTGAAGTTGTGGTTATTTTAGCAGTTATTTTTCTACGAAGGTATTTTTTTTCGAAAAAAAGTTCTTGTCGTGTATTGGAAAATGGTTATTTAATCTAGAATCCTTACTAATAAAATGTGATCCAACATATTAGAATTTAATAAAATAGAATAGTACGGAGCTTTATTAATCATCCAGAAAAGTTACACAACAATAAATGGTACGTCCAAAATAACAATGCAAGTTAGAAAACACTAAGATAATAATATTGAAAAGTAACTAAAGTTTTTATATTATAGACAAATACAAATTTTTATCAATAGCTAAATGAATATCCACTAGATCCTATTGAGATTGGAAAATGTTATTTGGTGTATTAAAAGGCTAGTATAAAATATTTTTGTTGCCTCGCTCCCCATTTCTTGCATTTTTCAAACCTAAATACTAATCACTCCTGAATGGAAAAGAGTCCATGGGGGTCAGTTATAGCTTACATCACAAAAAAAAAATCTACTGTTATCTATCCCAAACCATCCAAATCTGATTATATAAATCTTACTTTCATAGTTTAAGCAGCCATACACAAATCTGCCCATTGTAGCATAATATATTGACTGCAATTTGTTGTTATTTTTTGAATTGTTGAAAAAGCTAAGCTTACTACCACCTATTGACATATATAAAGCATTTTTTATTACACTTAAATTATTATTATTTCCGAAAAGTAACAATCAAAATGTGTGTGTTTAAGGCTATGGTTTTAAGAAAGTTCACTTAAAGTTTACAAATCCCGATTTATGTTTTCTTTCGTCATCTCCAAAACAATAATAAATTTGTGTATCGTCGGCAAACGCCTGGGTCTTACAGAACATTGAACTTAGCATACCTGAAGCATAGACAATAAATAGCAGTGAGCTTAGAATGGACTCCTGTAATACAAGCGAGGGAATTTGCCTTTGCCACGGAAATTTATTTAAAATGAAAACGGAACATTAAAAATTCAAATTGAATCATTTTTTGGTTCAAATTTCATTAAAAAAATTGCATGGGTTGCTGGTGTTGACCATTTGCCCTACAAGTTGCAGTTTGGACGGTATCTGTTATGGTTTTAATAGTTAGAACATTACAGTACTTCTCATCTTTTCTAAATGCTTCGTCAAAAAATGATTGACGTTTAGACCAAGGACCATTGGTTGACAAACATCTCCAAAGCAATGTAGAAGCCATAGCTATTAGGAAATGTCTTCATTCTCGATTCAGTTCATATTAACGCACTCTTAGTATAAAGTAAAGCAAATATTTGCTTAAGAATATTTTATTTGGTTAAAACGCGGCTTTGTATTCTATCTCAACGATAACCCGAATAAAGAGTGTCTCGCCTGTTGCAATAGTTTGTAACACACATCATTGTGTTAGAGTTTTATACGAAACAAAAATCATACATCTACGAATATAATTATTTGCATAAATGTTCGCGTTAAACATGATTGCATGTGCTTCCCACAATAACTACCACATGGAATTACTATGTCAATTATTAGATTGTTCTATTTAACGGTAATTTACTGTATTTTTTATGGTTCTCAAGGTACGAATGTTTACATAGTTGTTTAGCTAGTAAATAGCCGCATCTTTTAAAATGACTCCTTCAGTTGACTTTATTTACCTATATGGGTAAGCTATTGATTATAGTATTATAGACGGTGAGTTAGATTTTTTATAACAGGTATTTAACAGCTTAAAGATGGAAATTAAAAGAATATATAAACGTATGTGCTTTCTTTTTTGTTTTACCTCTACGATTTGATGCACCAAATAATTATTTTAATATCTATATGGTGATACATTTTACATATTAATAAAAAGAATAAGAAGAAGACGGTACTCCATTTAACCTTTTCAAACTTTTTTACGGGGAATATTTATTATTTAACTAACCAAAACAAACCATCCAAATTTCTCAAAATGTACATACTTCTATAACGAATAATTATTTTAAGTGATGCAAAGTACATTTCCATGGAAATATAACAGTAGATCAAATTTTATACCCAAATTGTAACTAATTTATCGCCCAAAAGTCAATGGAAACGATAAGCGACGTTTATCGCCATCCAGAAATATAATTGGAATAGAATCAGACAATAAATATATTTTTTTAATTAGTAAAAAATTTTCAATTAATCAACCAACCAAAACTTGAAAAATTCACAAAATCAGCAAAAGTACTTTACCCAAGTGTTTGAAATTTGCAGCCATGGAGGAAAGATTTAGGATGAAGATGATGATAATGATTTTTGGTTAGATTTTCTTTGTGTTTCCACTATCTTGTTGTCTATAATTTTATAAATATAATTAAAATCTTTATAAATATACATTACTAAATGCGATTGAAGTTTCGTAGCACCATCAGTGCTTGTGCCAATAAGTCGATTGCAGGTGTATTATCGGTAATTTATTTCTATTATTTTCATTTATTATTATCTATTTATTTTTATTATACTTATTACTATTAAATCACTCCAAATACTACTTATATACTAAAGTATACAATAACAATAAAATATATAACATTAATTTTGAACTCTATTGTATTAGTTAGATAGCCTGATGATTGGTCAAAATTTCCCTATGTTTGTTCTACACCGCTTAGTATGAAATGTTGGCACTTCTCTGACCGAAACTCTTTTAACTCTAATATCTATTTGACTACGGCAGGTAGATAAATCAATCTCATTAATTATTAATTCAAGAATGCATAATAATTCAGCTATTTTCCTTCGCTGCTCTCA